ATGAAAACATGAATATTATATTCCATTTCTGACAATAGATCCTCCTAAATGTTGGGGGGGCTTTAATTGCCTCTATTGCAATCTTGTGAAATTCTTTCATGGATGGATAAAAGAAACTTAAAAAGGATTTAAACACACACAATTTCTCAACTAATAATACAAACTATGAGTTCAAACAATTGTCTTACAAAACTGAAATAAGTTGGATTGTCAATAATATTTCTTTCTAGAGTTTATGTTTTTGAATTTAGTAATAGGTCACTAATTTGTTTATCATATGCAGTTAAAGCCACTCTCCTAACTCTCTGAAAATAATGAGCTCCCTGGTTGAGGAGGTGCCAGTACAGACAGTGGTAACGAGTTCCCAGTTCTTGGAGGTGTGAGAAGTCAGGAGAGGAGGCTAACATCTGTCTGCATCCCCACCAGACCTTGATTCACACTTCTAATTGCTGTTTATGTTGCATTAATTATTACACCAGACACAAACTAAAAAAATTATTTATATCATAATATGCCGTTTCCAATAATGAACTCACAACTTTAGTGTAAAACTGCCATGATTTCTCATTATGTTGCAACTTCTGGCTTTTTCTTTTTTTTTTGTGTAGCATGCATGTTCTCCCCATGTTTGATTGTAGGATAAAAGACATATACCTGATATGGACTGGGGGACCAGAACACTTTATGCACATTTGTATAACTTTCTGTTCTTGCTTTGACTGCTGTGCTTCCATCAAAACTACATTTAAACACACAACACACTTTATATTTACACTGTATAAATACTTATACTGTCTAATATCTGTGAATCAAAATTTGAAAAGTAATTGTCATTTAATAGCATCAATCTTTTATGCAGGCTACTGATTTCCTAAAATATTTTGTCACGTGGTGATTCTGGCAAAGCACATAGTCAGAGCAGATTCTACAGTACACAATTCCATTTGGATCCTATTTAATAGTAGTTCCGCCAAATACATTGCAGTACTCATTAAGAAGTAAGGGTACTCATTTGAACAAAAATCAGAGTTCTCGCCCATTTCAGGCTCTGCCGAAGTTTGATAATACCTTTGGTGTTTCATACAGATGCACAAGATAGTGTATGTATGACACTACTATCTAACTCCTATGCAAGTCCACAAAGGGAGATGGGGGGTGGATAGATGGGTCAAACAAACCCAGGAGACCAGGGATGATGTCCGATGTGAAATCAGTGTTGATTTAAAGTTTTTAGAACATAATGTAGGTGCTATGGTAAATCACAGCGGTACCATTTGTTGGTACAACAGAGGTTTAAATATATTGGTGCAATCAATTAATTATGGTTATCAAAGTGTATTAATTATCAAAAGATAATAGAAAATGACTTTAATTAATATTAAAGTTCCTCGGGGCACCACCCTTAAATAAGGGAATTGATTGATCAGTCTAAAAAAAAAAAACACTAAACTATTAATTTAGAAATCGGATTAATAATTAAATTAATAACTATAACCAAAATCACTATTAATAATTAAAGTGGAAGGCTTTGGAGTTCTGCATAGAAGAGGTTGGTATCACTCACTCTTGTACGAAATGAAATAGGCCAGCATGTATAAACACAAGCATTTATTAATGATATAATAAAAGCAAACAGAGGAAAATACACTATATACAATCTAACTTAAAGGAACTAAGTTAGAGGAAATACGGGTTTGTGTGTCTATGTCTGTGTGCATGGGGGTTGTGCGCCAGAAAAGGTGTGTGTCCTTTGTCTTCTGACCAGATGTTTCAGGGTATGAAACACGTGTTGGTGAGAAACAGAACATGGAGGAGCGGGAGGGTTTGATTTCCCTCTCCTCATGGGTGTGCTGAGGTTAAAGCCGAATTTAGGTGTGTATGTGTGTGTGTGATCGTAGATTAACGGTGCAGTTAAAAGGGAGTTAGTTGCATGCAAAGACAGCGTCTGTGTGAAGCATAACATTAAACTAACATCACCTTAGCACTGTCTCAGAGACTACAGTTACTACAGTAACCTGCGTTAATCAAATCAACAACACAACAATATAACCTGAATAAAAACATAACATAATGACTTATGTCACCTGCACTGTAATCCAATAACTCATAATTCAAAAAACAACTTGGTTTGGGTTAAAATATACTTGGTAAGGGGTAAATTCAGTGGCAGATTAACCCGACCGCTGTGACAGATCTAAACCCAAGGAAATCTGGGACCATGTACAGAGTCAGCGAGCACATCCTTGCCATGGAGAAAGGCAGACCTGGCTCCTCAGAGACCACCCAGGTGGAAATCGAGCTGCACTTTTAAACTGTACCAAGACATCAAAGAAATATAGCCTACTACCCACAGATTACAACCCAAAAATATTTGAATATGGCTTATTACAAAAACATCCACATCTGCTTGGTGTAACACAGAAATGTATAAATGCAGCAGCAAGATTTATGAGCTATTGAGACCGGAGATTGACATCCAGTGGAATACAACCACCATGTAGACTGTCAATCACCTTTATATACCTGCATTGACATTAACATAGATGCTGCTAGCATCAGTTATATCAGAACTAGAGAGGATTTTTCATGGAAAGAAGAACAAAGAATATCACTTGAAGAATTTTCTCCATGGAAAATATGTTTTTGCTCTTTTCCTGACTGGCTTCATTAAGAGTTTGACTACGTTATGGTTCATTGATCTGATTGGTTGGAGTGTGCCTCTGACAGTGATAGACAGATGGTTTTTCCAATCAACTACGAAGTATTTTTTTAAAGCGCCTTCCCTTTTCCACAGTTTCCAACCACGACTTCCCAGATGGTTCTGTGTAACAAACCATTTGACTCAGTCAGGTCAAAGAGTTACAGGTCTAATTGGATTTGGCTGTTCAATGCGAAAATTCGACTACTCGTTCCTCCTTTTTGTTTTTAGTTGAGCACCACACTATCCCATATCAGCAGTTTCTGGAAACACGGCTACATGAGTGTGTTTTGCTGTGATTTGAAAGCATCAGATTTTCACACAGTCAGAGAAAGTAAAAGTGTGCATTCCACTTATAGTTCAGTTATAAAATCCCAGCACTGCTGCAGCACTATCCGCCCAAGACTCAATCACAGTGGACAGCAGTAGACAAGGTTGGACCACCGTTTGGTTCAAAAGTTGTTTAGCTGACTTCATTGACAGTCGGCACCGGAGCTGAGAGGGTCGGAGCAGCCATTGGCGTTAGTTTTGGAGTTTGTGGTCATTTTGAGACTCAGCCTGCCATGCTGCCACTGCTGCATTGCTCTGTGTACAGGGGAGATTCAGCTGACATCATGCGTGTCAACTTTGGGTCTTCTCAACTGATGATTTGAATCATTGACGTTTCAGGGGGAGCCCTAGTTACAGCTATAAGTTACACCCTCTGGTAGGACTGTGCTGCTGCTTGGAAAAATATTGCTAAAATAATACCTCCATAATTCCTTGAATATCTCCAGACATACCTAACTATAAGGCATTTAGTCATTAAACACTTTAAAATTTTGACTTTAAATGTTCAAATCCTGTTTGTCATTTTTAAAACCATATAGGTTGAACTTTCAAAGCTTCCTTTTAATCTTTTAAATCTTTAAATAGGCTAGTACACCTTGAACTGTGAGGAGATAGTCACCTCCTACAGGACATTATCAACAGGGACAGACCGTCCAACCTTACTCCCTGCGGGTCTATACTGGCCAGAGAGCTCATAAGTACAAGTATAGCTCAAACTGACCCCATATGAGGCAGATTCATACTTCCCAGCTGGCTATGGAAGGTAAGTTTTGGATTGAAGCACAGCTGTGTTTGAATATGCTATAGCTACCTAAAGGTCATATTTTAAGTGGTTTATGAGCAGTTTTTAAATAAATCATTGATTGCAAATGTTTATTTTACGTAAGCAGATTGGTGCTTGATAGCTAATCATTACATCAGTGGCATAAATGCATTTCATCAAATTAAATTTACCTTCTGATGTTTGGTGTAAGATTTGCAGCACTGGTTTTAGCCAATAATGACAGTTTCACTACTAGTTTCGGCAATGGCTGATTTTTATGATGTGTGTTTAATCTAGTAGTAGATGTTGTCTCATACATCTCTTACATGGGTACTTTTAATCAACTGACATTATTTTATATGCTTCTAATTAACGTTGCGTGGGTAGTATTGATATGTGTAGTGTTTTAATACGTTTTTTTTGGGGGGGGTTGGGCTCGGGCCCAGAACTGCTTCCGTGGTCCAGGCTCATTCCAGCCTTACACAGAACTGGGTCAGGCTGGGCTTAATCAAAGCTCTAATGTGACTTTCTGTTCAGTTGAGTCTGATGAAGATGCACCACCACTGAAACATTAGTCATTCAATAACGTTTGTTACCTTACTCAATGTGCTCCAGTTACTTTAGGGTATATCTCTGAAGTTTCTCCTGATACAAGATTGCCCTGCTTAAGAGCACCAGACAGGACCTTTTTCCTTGTGAGTCAGTTGAAGTGCGTGTATTCTCCTCCCCTGCAAAAGCAGCAGCCCCTTATTTTTCACAGGATTTCACCTTACTGACATTAGTTTCCTTTGACAAACACACTTTGTATCTTCTAGTCTATTTACATATACTGTACATTTTCTGTGGTAAAATGCCGTACTCTTTATAGTTGAATATTTAAGCTGTGATTACAATTAGTTAATGTTTCTCCTCCAAATTGTTTTTCAAATAAATTTCAACCTGTACTGCTTAGGCCCTTGCATATTAAAATAAATGGGTTACTATGACATACATATAACTCATATTACTAATAAATAAATGTAAACAGCCTGATGTTATTTAGCACAACAAATTAAAGTAATCTTAGAATATTTGATTAAAGTGTTAAGTTTTGCCCTCCTCGCCCCTCTCCATGCTACCTTTTGTTGCATCTTCTATGGGTTACCATGACATATTATTGAAAATTAAAACTATTATTTAATTAGCGTTCAGCAAATTAATCTTGGTATAAATGCCACAAATTTTATTTTTTAAATAAAGAAATATAGATTCAAATAGATATGTTTCAGCACGTTTCAGTCCATTCCTGAATTTATCATTCTCCCTCCAAACAGATGGAGCCAGCGCTCTGCTACGAGTACATAAATGCTTCATGTCTGAGGACCATCTATCCCTTGCCTATACGCATCACCCTCTACGTGATTCTGGGGTTCACAGTCATCATAACAGTGTGTGGAAACCTGTTGGTAACTGTCTCTATCGCCTATTTTAAGCAGCTTCACACTCCAACCAATTGCCTCTTAGTATCTCTGGCTGTTTCTGACCTCCTTCTGGGGTTGTTAGTCATGTTCCCCAGTATGATTCGATGCATAGAGACTTGCTGGTATTTTGGTGATGTCTTCTGTAAAGTCTACATGAGCTCTGATGTCATGTTGTGTACAGCGTCAATACTAAACCTGTCATTCATATCACTGGACCGACACTACGCTGTCTGCCAGCCTCTCCTGTACAGGAGAAAGGTAACTGTTAACGCTGTGTTGATCATGATTCTGACCACTTGGAGTGTTTCAGCTCTTATAGGCTTTGGAATGATTTTTCTGAGGTTAAATATTTGGGGGATTGAGGAGTTCTACTATAACTATATTGCGTGTGAAGGGAGCTGTGTTTTGTTTCAGAGTGGACTATCGAGTACAGTCTCATCAGTACTTTCATTTTACATCCCAGGAATAGTAATGCTTGCTGTTTACCTGAAGATTTTCCTGGTGGCACAGAGACAGCTGCGCAGCATACAGAACACAAGCTGCATGAGCTCAACAAAAGTATCAAATACAAGCCAGACAAAAGCCACCAAAACACTTGCTATTATAATGGGGGGCTTTCTTTCTTTTTGGACTCCTTTTTTTGTGTGTAACATCATTGATCCTTTTATCAGTTACTCAACACCACCTGCTTTGTTTGAAACCCTTGTATGGGTGGGCTACATGAATTCTGCTGTCAACCCTTTAATATATGCATTCTTTTACAGCTGGTTCAGAAAGGCATTTCGATTATTTGCTTCAGGTAAAGTCTTTAAATCTGACATTTCAGAGACCACACTTTTTACAGAATAAATTGATGCAGACGCCTCTGGGAAGTGGATGTTCTTTTTTCTTCTATTTTTTAGAATAGAATATATATTTATTGTCCAGCAGGCTGTAGAATTTGTCTTCAGCTCATATTACACATTTTTAAACAGTTCATGTCGGTGTCTAGGGCTTAGATCTCATTAGTCACTCTGTAGAGTTAAGAATATAGATGGCTCTTGGGATGACGATGAACCATTTACAGGTCCAGTGTATAGGATAGTTAGTAGCAGTGTAGTTGCAGATCACAACTGCCTCGCCTCCCATTTCAAGTGTGAAGAAAAAACTCTCTGCAAAATGTGCGGAAAAGGGGAACGCCCCTAGAGCCAGTGTTTGGTTTGTCCCTTCTGGGCTACTGTAGAAACATGGATCTCCATAGCGTTGTTGTGATCGATACAGCCATGTGATCCATTGAAGACGTATTCAATTTCAATTCAATTAAATTTTATTTGTATAGCGCAGATTCATAACAGAAGTTAATTCAAGACACTTTTCAAAAAGAGCAGGTCTAGACCGAACTCCTTATAACATTATTTACATAGACTCAACAGTACCACCATGAGCAAGCACTTGGCCATGGAGGCAAGGAAAAACTGCCTTTTTAAGAGGCAGAAACCAAGAACAGACCCTTCAGCTCTAGGTGGGTGGTCATCTGTTTTGACCAGTTTGGGGGAGAGAGAGAGAGGAGAGAGAGAGAGAGACAGAGAGAGACAGAAGACAGACAGAGACAGCAGACAGACAGACAGACAGAGGTGCGAGCAACAACAGTGGCAACAACTTCACTAATAGTAGTGACTGATGATGATGAACATGAAGATGAAGGCGACGACAACAACGATGGGGGACAATTATTAATAGTAATAATAATAATAACAATAATATCAGTGATATTAGCAACGGCAGTCAAGGTGCACCATGGCAGGAGGCTCCACCAGGATCCATGAGAACCTGCGAGACTCCTGTTCTACTTTTAGAGACTATAGGAACCACAAGTAGCCCTGCATTCAGAGAACGCA